GCCCCCCTTCAAAAGGTTAAAAATTAAACATTCCTGAGCAGATTTCCCCCCCCCCCCCCCAATTTACTTCCATTGGGTCATAATAATAGTCAATGACTTCTTTTTTCCATTAGTGTATCTATCCAATCCAGACTTTCACTGTTGCTTTAATAAAGTTAATGCTTTACTTGGTAGTGGTGCCAGCCTCCAGGTGGGGCCTGGGGATCCCCTGGAATTACAGCTCATCTCCAGACTCCAGAGATCAGTCCCCCTGGAGAAAATGGATGCTTTGGAGGGTGGACTCCATGGCGCTGTGCCCCACTGAGGTCCCTGTCCTCCCCAGGCTCCATCCCCAAATTTCCAGGAACTTCCCAACCTGGAACTGGCAACCCAATCCCCCATCCTCCGTCGGTGGCCGGGGGGGGACCTGGCAACTTGGCCATTATTGGGCAGTCTGTCAGCTGATCATATCTGTAGCGATAGTAGTCAACCCAAAGAGGGAAAACTTTCTCTGACCTTGTACTGGGGTACCTGGGAAGCTATTGGGGCATTATAAATTCACCCAGTTTGCACGTAAGTAGATGTCGTCTTTTCAGAAGACATTACCTCTTTTTTTGGTGTCCATTTTCTTTGGGGCTCTTTAAAAAAAAAAAAACTGATGAAAATGTCCACTTTTTGGGTTTGGCAGTTTAGGAATATTCCTAGTTCGTAGCAATGATCACAGCTTAAATAGTAGGGGCAGGGGTCATTTCCTGCGGGAGCGCACAGGAGCGGAGCTCCGGCAGTAAGGAGCCCAGGGGGCGGGCACACGAAACAAGCCCCGCCCCCTGCTCCCAGCAGCCCTCAGTCGGGACACGAGGAGCAAGAAGCAGCCAGGTAAGTTGCAGAGCCCCACCACCACCCTGGCCCGCCTTCAGGTACAAGCTCTCCCTCCTCTGTGAGGGCAGATCTGTGCCTGAGTAGGGGTGTTTAACATGAGATTCGTCATAGTGATCACTTGTTTGGAGCAGTCAGTGGGGAAATCTGCCCTCCTTTTTGCTTTTCAAAATGTGGTAACCCTCCATGTAAGGGTTTTGAATATTAGGGGCCGGACTTAAACACGACCCTCCTCTAGATTCTGCTTCCTCCTTATCGTCACCACCTTGACAACGCCATAACCTTGACAACGCATCTCATTAGCATATTAGGCCACACCCCATGTCTTCCCTTGGCTTGCCTGGGCAAGCCCCCCTTGAAGGGAAGGGAAGGCAGTTTAATCTGCCTTTCCCTTGATTCG